GCGATAAAGGATCTAATGGCAAGCGCACGAGGACGATGGCCTGCTGCCTCACTGTTCATGGAGATTATGCAGCTGGTTTGGCCACCATGCTGTTTCATTGGCCGGCATCCCGACTCGCGGACTTACTGGAGCAGCAACTTGTGACATGGATCTTTGCATCAGTCTGCGACTTCCTTGCTTCCCAGATCAGACCTCATTTGCAGTTCGTGTACCGGACACACCCTACCACTTGGACTTTGACACTTGAACTACTACTACGCTTCTTGGACTACTACCTATCGCAGCTGCTGAAGACAGCTTCTACCACCTACTCCAAAGACCTGATCAAGACCGCTGCAGCCCTCCTTTCAAGACACTTGGACACTTTGTTCCTAAATGAGATTCTGCTTCCGACTCCTTCGGACACACCAGCCTTCGCATCCTGAACAAACATTTTCATTTTTATTTTTCCTGACTGTGACAACCCTGTAGAACATCATTAGCCGATCCCTGTTTCCCTTACCATTGTTCCCCGTACCCACTAGAACATCAATAGAAGTTCCCTGTTCCCTGAACTCTGTTCCTCCTTAACCTATAGCGAACCATGCAGTCCCCTTAGTTCATCAGTAGAACCACCCTGCTCCCTATCTTCCCTTTAGTTCATTTGTAGGACTACCCTGTTCCTTGCAACCCCCCCTAGTTCATCAGTAGGACAACTCTGTTCACCGGTACCAAACCCTGTTCCCTCTTACTCCCGCAGCCCATGCCACCCACATTATACCCCTCTTCCCTTTTCGACTTGTTAACCAGTGATCGACCCCGTCCCGTCCTTCACAGATTTTAGCATTGCTTCATGATTTTTGGCAGCCGGGACGTTGCCTTCTAGAGGGAGGGGATAGTGTTACGGACTTCGCCAGGGCTCGATCCCTGGTCTATCTTTTGCTGTTTCGGCTGCATCCCGTTTTCGGCCTGGCACCCTTTTTCCAAACCCCTCCTTTGGTACCGTAGGATTTCAGCGGGAATCTCAGCAAGGCATTCATTCCAGCGGCAAATCCCAGAAATCAGCAGTGTTCTCAGTCTGTGTTTTGGCGGGTCATTACAAAGGTTAGAGTGTGTGTGTGTGTGTGTCTGTACGTGTGAAGTGTGTGTTTGTGCGGGACATCCAGGGAGATCCAGGGTGTGTGTATGAACCAGTTGCTGGGAGTGTGGTGTACGGCCATAGCCGTACGGGACAAGTTTGAATCTGAACTGCGTTCTTGGCTACGTTAACTCTGAGCTTTGTGTGGGCGCAAGTTGCCAGCTTGATCGATATCTGTTTGTACGCATGCGGAGTGGCAAGAAAGACAAGTCTGATTGCAGTATGTCCCTTTGTCCTTTTATGACAATTTTCTGCCTGCATGTTGGGGTCTGTATTGTTTTTCTGTGCCCTTCATTACTTTGCATGTCTAGAGTCTGTCTCAATGTTGGTGTGCTGGCATCACCATCTGTGATTGTGGCCCATTTTGCTGTTTGTCGTGTTGCTGTTGAATGCCTTGTGGTAAAGATGGAGAATGAGAGGATGGTAGAACGTCTGCGAGAGATGCAAGCGGAAATGAAGGAGAATGAGAGGAGAACTAAAGAGGACAACACTCGTTTGGCTGCAACTCTGGCAAGCCATCATATCGATTACAGTCGCAAATCAGCTGATGCAGCATCACATTTTCAGCGCATACTCAACCTGGAGGTTCTGAACTGCTCTGACAACTCCAAGCATGTCCTCATCCCTTGCCTTCTGCCCGTTACCTTCGGGGCATTTTTTGCAGTGTCCTCAACTCGTTCTCAATTATCTGACTGATGGCTAGCAAAAATGAAGGAGCAGCAGCAGCAGCAGCAGGAGGAGGAGGAGGAGGATGGAGGAAGGATGAAGGGAAATTGTGGGAAGAGGAGATATGAAGAGGGCAAGGCAGAGTGAGGTGGAGAAGGGAGTGACAGAGGAAAGGGGGGATAGAGGAGGAGAAGGAGGTGGGGAAGGGAGCGAGGGGAGGAGTTAGGGAGAGAGGGAGGAAGGGAGGGAGGGATGGACGGGCAGAGAATGACAGGAAGAGGGAGGGAAGGAAGGTAGGAAGAGAGTGCGTGGAGTGAGGGAAAATCAGGGGAATCAAAGGATGAAAAACAGAGGATTCAAAGGATGAAGAGGATGGGTAGACAAAGTTGCAACTGTGCAAGCCTTTCAGAAACTTCTGTGAATATCAAAGAACTCATTTTCAAATGGCAGTAGCATTTCAGACAAAAGTGCATAGTCCACTTATTCTGAAAAGATGTTGGCAACTTCTAACTATGTTCTAAGATGTGGACGTATTGCATGGCCTTTGTGTTTCTGGATGGTTGCTCCCTTTCTCAGTTGTTCGTGGATGATGCTTGGATGCGTTTTGAGCATGCACCTTAGCGATTTGTAGATCTAAAAAGCTTGTCATATGTAATCATTAGCCGGTGTGCTATGCAGTATTTCGCTGGCGAATGCACTTATCAATTATAGAGTTGACAAAGCCGCTTATTATAACGTGACTTCTTCCGCTTCTTGGCCCTCATCGGCCTCTTCTTCTTCCCCTTATTATCCTTCTCCTTCTCCTCCTTGTGATCTCCTTTTCCTTCTCTTTTGACTTGTGATTCTCCTCCCCTACCTCTTCCTGCTGTTAGGCTTCTAGTAATACTGCTACTGTCACCCCTACTGCACTACTGGCTCTATGACCACCATCAGCACCACGGCTACCACGACTGCCACTCTAACTACACTACTATCATCACCAATACCACACTTCTACCCTTGCCTATCCTTGATAGCACCTCTACTTCCTCTCTGCTGACTAATAAGACCATGACCAGGTCTACAAGCATTGTACTACGAGTGCTACAGCTACTAAGTTACTAACTACATAGCACCACTACTGGTAGCACTGGCTTTACCGCTACTTCTACCATCTTCACCCGAATATAATGCCCGATCATTATGGCTGTATCTGGCGTATTTTGAAGTCCAGATGCGGCGAGAATGACGGGGCGTTGTATTCGGGTTAAGACGATAGTGCTACCACTGCGGCAACCAAATCCTGTCCTACTATCCCTGCTATCACTGCTGTCAGCACTCCAACTATTATCAAGGCTGATACTCTTGCTGCTACCATTGGCACATCCACCTTCTCTTTATCAAGGGAGGTCAATCCCATGATTGCATATTTGCTTGTGTTTCACGCCTGTTGCTTGTGGCGAATGCCCGTGTAGTTACTTCTGATGCTACTGCTGCTGGTGTCGTCATCTGTGCACATGAGGATCCATTATGGCAAAAGAAAAGTAGGGTGTAGCAGCTGTAGCTGTACCGTGCTGAATTGCAAACACATGGAATTGTGGATCAACAAAATACCGTGGCGTTGTGAGTTCAAATCCTCACGGAAACAACTATGTTAGGGGGTAGCCTGGCAACAAGCTGAGACATGTTTTGTAGATCGTGAGTGCTCCAGATACTGGCGCATGTGCAGGCCGAACTGGAGCGAGTCAAACAAGAAGCGCATGCGCGGGAGCTCGAGTTGAAATTTGAACTCGACAAGGTGAGTGAATACAGGACACCTCTGGAGAGTGCTTGTTGATTCTTTTCCAGGTTTTACTTGGGTTTTGAAAATCCCTCGCTTTTTTTTTCTTTTTCTTTTTCTTTTTCAAGAGGTCCTTATGGGCCCGGCTCTTTATACATTCTGGGGAGCGTCAGTGGAGTTCCTATTTCCCTGGCAAGTCGGGACATGTCCAAAATTTACTCACGCTCAAGGGTTGATCATGTTACAGCCCAGGGAATCCTGACAACACTGATTACTTCCTTCAGAAGGATTGATTGCTAGTTTGGCCCACACTTTAAGTCAGACCCCTCCCCAGAAAACACTTGACAGATCAACAGACGATAAAGACCAGAATAGGGAAACCTTAGGAACTTCCCATTTAGACCCGAATTCGACTTTCCTCACAAGCCAAAATAAATTAATCTAGGAAGAAAGAGAACAGAAAAGTCCCCATTTAGTCAAATTTAGCGCAGGACACAGACAGGGAGAAAAGAGCTCTTGAGTGTTGTGCAGAAAGCTGACGGCGACTGACAGAAGCTGAGAGGAGCTACACTCCAGTTCTTATAGAAGACAGCGAATGAATAGCTAGTCAAGAGAGCTGATCCCTTTTTCCTTTTGTACAGAAAGCCAAGAACGGTACAAACCCCATCAGAAATAGGCCAATGAGTAATCAGAGTCGCAGAAGGCTAGTGGTGGTGATGATGTGGCGAAAACGGCATAATTTCAGCTATGTTTCTTTGTGATGATGTGGCGAAAACGGCAAATTTTTGGCCCTCCACTAACCATCTCTCTGAAAGTCACTGGTACCCACAATCTTCTTGTGTTAGGGTGGATCATCAGGGGGCAAGTGGTGGTCTAAGTCTCAAGTCATGCCAGTGAAGTTGGGCCGAAAAGACAGATCCACCTTAAGTTAGGCTCAAGGGATTGACATCCAGGTCATAATCAGAGTCTTGGTTCTCATATATGGGGGACAGCTGTATGCACTACACTATTTTCTTCTGTCAATATTTTTTTAGTGTCTCGCTAGCCACCTTCCTACCTCACATTCTCTACCCAACTATGTAGTATGGCGACCTCCGCATTCGTGTACCAGTCTACCCACAAACCCGACAAGTAATCCACATCTACGCAACGGAGGCGCAGTACACTAAGGGTTATGGGTTGAGCCTATCCCCTCAGGGCTGAACCTAACCCTACCTTCTTCCCCCGAACATAATGCACCCTGACAATGAATGTATACGAGCTACATTTCTGGTCAGGTACAGCCAAAATGAGGGTGCGTTGTGTTCAGGGGAAGACGGTAGCAATGGATGGAACGGACGACACCTGGAACCCCCCTTCCAACGAACCGAGAGAGGCAAGCTGACTATCTCAGCTGGTGAACCCGCAGCGCTGCAGGAGGCCGTGGGGATTCGAATGGAAGGCGTGGGGAATTGAACTTACGGCCTATTGAATGCAGCTTTCATGCTCTGCCAACTGAGCTAGGCCGCTGGCCTCTTGGTTAGGGTATAGTATCTGGGGGTCCAGTCAAGGAGATCAGATCTCATGAGGGAAAATTTTCAGAAGTTATCAACTCAGGCAAGTACTGACAAGCATCAGTCTGTGCATTTTCTGTGCTGCATGATGTATATCGTAAGGCACGCAAAGGACGCAAAGAGCTTGAAAACCGAATAGCTGGGATTGATCCTGAGCAAATGGCCAAGGAAGATGCTGCACTGGAAGAGACCAGAGCCCAGCTTACAAAAGAGAGAGAGGAGCATGCGAAGGTTGTTAAGGAGATGGAGAGGAAGCTGCAGTGGTATGCAGAAAATCAGGAGCTAATCGATCAGATCAATCAAGTCAACCGGCAACAGGTCAAGTTCGAACTCATTGTTTGTGCAGTGAACTTGAGCTTTTTGCTTTTCTGTGGCAACCGGAGTACTTATCCTTTTCTTTCGACTTAACTAAAAGAAATCCTGGAGCACCTGAGGGAGCCAGCTCATTCAGCAAGGTTGTGGTTCACATACTCCCCAGTCTCATGCTAACTGCAAATTACCACAGAATTAGTGGACCCTGACTAAGAGGAAGAGACACACAGATGGGCAGACAGGCAGGCAGGCGGGCAGCGAGACGGAGGGATGGACGGGTGGGCAGGAAAATGGGTGAACAAACGAATGGGTAGACGGATGGGCAAACAAACAGACAGAAGTATGGACTGACTGACAGACGACTGACTGACTTGCCGACTGGCCAACTGACCCACTGACTGACTGATTGATTGATTGATTGATTGACTAGATTTTGTTGGCAAGGTGTATTGTTGGGCCGGGATTCGTTGAGTTTGTATTTGCCTTTCCGCCCGATGCTGCTATACATGTTCTATTATGTGGCATGCTAGAATGTGTGGTAGGCAACATTGTTTGAAGTTGCCTGAAGCTTACACCCATCATTGTGTGATTTTCTTGCAGCCGAGAAAGAGCGGCCAGAAATTTTTGGCATCGTTCTTTGAAGAAAATACATTCGAAGTTTTTGGCACCTCTTTTATCCCAAGAACCATGCCGGCATTTGGAACCTCTCTTATTCCGGCATGGTATTTAGAATCCTACTCCCCTGCATAGGACTCTGCTTGCATCACCTGGTCGTATTGTTTAGCAATAAGATAGTTGTTGCCTGACCTGCCTACCACCACCATTGCCTAAAGTTTGTGGTTTTGCTATACTTCCATTGGAATCCATCCATTATTTTGTGATTTTGTCACATTTTCATAGGGGAAAAGAGGGGCCAGAAGTTTGCCCATGTCTTTGTAATCAGACCACAGTTCCCAGACATAACAACTGATGTTTGCCCTCTTTTCATGTGCCCCGTCCTTATATTTTATCTAATTAGTCTTTTGTAAGTTTGTTCCTTCTTCTTGAATGTTTACCGTCGTCTATTACACTGTTAAACCACCAGTCCACCCACACCTAGAATCCCGAACCTACCTGCCCACTGCGCGCCACTATTTTCCCAGCGTTCTGCGTGAGGGTACCTGCAGTGGGAGTTTCGGAAGTGGCACTGGTGCCGACAGTCTACCTGAAAGGGGGGGTGGGGGGGGGGAGGGAAAGAAAGGAACAAACAAGCCAGAGATCAATGATGTCATGGAAGGACGTCGTGGAGGCCATACTCAAGTGATCACTTTCCAGAATGCATCTGACCACTATTACGGGGAGAGGGAAACGTTGCTGTTTTTTCTTTTTTTCTGCTTTTGTTCTTTTCCTCCTTTCGCTGCCAGCAAGGCAGCGCACCTCGTGCTAAAAACGCCCTCCCTGAGGGCATACTCACACTAGCCGTTGAAATGAATCCAACCACTTTCATGCCTAAAGCTTGGTTTGTTTTCTTTTTTTTTGTTCTTTTTCTTGTCTGACAGTCGTGCTCCCCGTGTTCTTCCTTCTGCCGAAGTGCCCTCACTGAGGGCAGGCTCACATGTAGTACTCCAAAAAGTGTATCCAACTGCAATCACGGCCAAAGCTTGTTTTGGTTTTTGGGACGTGCGGATTTGACATGAGCCCAAAAAATTGAAAACCTTCTGACGCTCCGACCCTGCCCCGAGCCCGCCTTTTACTTCTTGTGGGGACAAGTTATTTTGCTGCAAGGCTGAGGCCGTGTACTGATGGTTTAACATTGTTGCAGGCAGCGACTATTACTCAGCTGCAGACCTGCTTGGCTGAGTATGATAAAGAAGATGCTGATGTGAATGGCATTATAAAAGGGAATGTGGAGAGGAGTGATAGCAAAAACAAGCAGATGAACCAAAACAAGAAACAGGGGAGTAGAGGAGGAGGAGCCTTCAAGGTCCAAGCTTCGAGCAGCCATATTGCGGCCTTACAAAAGCAGGTGGGCATTCAACTATGGGCTGTGATCTCTTGCTTCTTTTTTTTTTGTCTTTTTTTTGGCCAGATAGATCCAGCACTTTTTTTTTTCTTTTTTTTTTGCGTTTATGAAGATCAAACAGATCTCTTTAGCGGATTGCCTTAAGAGGCTTTAGCAGCTTTCCAGCATGTGATGCTCCCCACCAATAGATGGAGTCTCTCCTCAAGGTGTTAGTGGTGTCTGCTCTTACCAGCACCACTAACACTAGAGGGACTGTTTTTTGGAAAAAAAAAAGAAAAAAAAGGCTTTAGCAGCTTTGTTAGAGCTCATGGCACTGGGCTATTTATTCAGAGAGTCAGTTGAATTGTGATATGCTGTTCAAAGTAGAAACCCTCAATTGAAGCTCGGAAATGTTCCTTATACCCCCCAGATCAACTTAAACCACCAGTTTGGGCACCAGCCATACTGAATCTGTGGCTGTGCAAGGAGGCTGCTGAAAGGTTCGTCCTACCAAACCTAAGGGGGGTACTGGATGTCACAAGATTTTCCAAGTGCCCCAACTTTGCCGATTTTTTATGCACTTTTTCAGTTGTGTTACGATCCTGGCCAATTTCGATGTGCAAAATTCAACTACCGAAAATACCATGGGCATTGATCAACACAATACGCCTGGGTAGAGTCAGAAGTATGAAGTGGCTAATAGCTCATGTGGCCCTTCCGGTGAACGCATGGCTAAACGAGAGAAGACGTCAGGCCCAGAGGGACCCGGCCAACGCCTTGTGCACAGTATGCCAAGCAGGGACCCCGGAGAAATTGTTGCACTGCCTTTTGGCATGCGCAGAGGCGAACAGTATTTGGGAGGAATCCAAGACCATCTGGAGCTACTTCTCACAGGCTCCCTTTCCGTTATCCTCGACCACCCTACTGATGGGACTCAACCTCCCAAGCCAATGGCAACCATTTGAGAAGCACATGTTCCAGCTGATAAGACAATATAGCCTCTGGACAATTTGGAAACGAAGATGCCAAGTCACCATCGAAAAGCGGTCAATGCACAAACAGGAGGCAAAGGAGATACTCCTCACCCTAATCGAAACCGATCTGCGAGCACAATGGAAGAGGGTGAGGAGGCAAAGCCAGCAACATCTGGAACAGGCTAATGAGTACAGGACTCTGCAACGACTTGCTGTTTGCTGCCGCTGGTGACCCGACGACTCGAGGCTGTACCATAGGTAGGCTAGATTTGTAAATTTTGTTTGGCTGAGGGCTAACCGAGAGACCTACCTGTAGGGAAAATTCGTGAGGGACATATCTGTAAATTCGGGAAAATACAGGCCCGTACTAACTGAAGTTTCCTACAGCTACCCTAACTGCAAATAGCAGGCCCGGGCTACCCCTAGGACAGACAGGCTCTAAAGGCCAATGCTGATAGACGGTCCTATAGCCTATAGCCGGGTAGGTAGAGGTCGGGAGGCCGAAACTGAAACGGTACCGGTCAGTCCTACCAGTCCGGTCTAGGTCTTGTCTAGGCTAGGGTAGACTATGAATAGTTTTAGGAGAGACGGTTCGGGACTTTTGGCAGTTGGTACCGTGTACGTCGCTGCTGTGCAGCGCATGAACTGGAAGTGGTGACAGCTTCAGCGTTGGAGAAGACGGACATAGCTGGACCTGCGGAGTGTCGATCATAGCTGGGACCGACGCTGGACTCTGACAACATGCGGGGCCATTCAGAGGTCTGAGCTATCTGGACTCTGCCGGAGGCGAGAGAAGTTGGTGCCCTGCTGAACCCTCCTCCGGAGTAGGGTGTCAGAGTGTTTGGCGCTGCAGCCATAGCTGCAGCTTGTCTTCCTCAGAGATCATGTTTGTCAGGAGTGGTGGCGCTGCTACAGACTTCCATCGGGGAAGTCTTTTGGCACTTCATCATCATCAGATATTGTGGCGCTGGTCTTCTTCTTCATCCTTTGAGAGTTGCTTGGCCTTAGAGACCTGTTTCGGGGTGGCGTTTCCCTCTGGAGGCAGTATATGGGTGGCGCTTGATGTTTCAGGGGCTCAGGGGTAGTAATAGCGGTTACTGGTGCGCTGCTCATTTCTGAGCAGCGCACCATGGTACTGGGGTTATTCTGACATTTTGATACTCCGAGTTTAATAAACAGTGTGAATATTGTGTGCAAGCTATCTTTGGTTCATTGTTTCCTGGATGTGATCTACTCGACACTCCTTTGTGACAGGTTGTGAGGATTCTGTGGAGCGAATTGCACTCTCAGTGTTTTCAGTCATATCGCATTGTTAGTCTTTTGCTGTGTTTCTCTCTCCCTGTGCGGTGTGATACTCCCATCCTCTCGCCTTCCTTCTATGTATGCATGAGCATACCTGGAAGTCTATGTGAGCGAGTGTTGGTCTACTGACAACAAACAACCAGGATCATAACAGTTGGTATCGGCGTGATTGGATCTAGACAATGAAGTAGTTGATGAGTTGGAGCAACTATCATCAACTGGCGAGATATTCGAGTTGAGTCTCATGGGGATTTGTCATCTTCATGGTTGGCGTCAGTGAGTGTGGTGGTGGTAAGTGTGTGGCGAGAAGTATTAGACAGAGGGTGACACACTCCTGCTTAGGGTTGTGCAAGAGTGAGTGGTGATTTTTAGCCTGCCGATTCAGAGGCCTGGGAGGCTTTGAGGAGGCTATTTTTAGCTTGTCGATTCATCTGGAACTGGCGATTGGCAAGGAAGTGACCCTAGGGTGTTGCGATTTTGTAATTGGGTTAGGATCCTCAATTTCCAAGCAGCGCACTGCAGGTTGGAGCAGCGCTGCACTAAGTGTGTCAGTTATCAGCATCTGGGAGTCTAGATTCACTGAATCTGTCAGTTGAGGGTGAAGCGCCTCAGGAAGATCTACATGATCACCAAGTTACAGAGAGTTTGATACATGGGAACACTGGGTGCAAACAGAAAAATAAACTGGCTGGATGGGTCTGAGGAGACAGCCATAGCCAGGGCTTCATTCATCCCCTTCAGAGTTATCCCTGAAGTAAGTGTGTTCCTTACTCTACTCTGGGTGGCGATTCTGGGGCTATTTTTAGAATTGCAAAATTTGGTCTGTCAGTCAGTAGACAGTTGAAAATCGAAATTCACATTGTGGGACAGCCATAGCCAACTTTCCCTACCTATCTTCTTTGACTTCTATTAACCCTTTTTTACCCTCTTTTTGCCTCAACTTTCATTTGTGACTACTTTACAGTATTGCGATTGATATAGTACTGTGAATTGGATTGTTCATGGTCTTGTTGTCAGTGATAATGGAAATTTGAATTTTACGCTGCCATAGTTGAAGCTTGTTCAGGCTAGGGTTAGTCATAACTTCAGTTCTGTTCGTCAAAATTCAATTTTGTCAGTCCCTGGTAAATCGCAATTCAGTATACAGTCTGTGTTTGAAATCGCACAGTCAGATTTGGTGTTTTGAGTCAGTCACAGTGATATTTGTAATTCGCCATACCCTGGGTATGGCATATAGGGTCATCCAGTGGTGAGGTCAGTAGGGTTAGGTCAAGAAATAGGTTACCCAGTAAATCGCTGCATCTTGGTCACCTGTAGATACCTGTTTGCCACTAATAGTCACTTTGTCTAATTACGGTCTGCTACTAATCAGTCTTGAACTTCATCCTAAAATCTATTAATACAGGATTTGTAGTGATTGCATGCCATTGATGTGTTAGGGCAGTGAATGGAGAATCGTGAAATTGATTTTTGTTGAGTATACTCTAAACTGACCCTGACCCACAAGCGGCCTGCAGAGATTGAGCACCTACCTGCTCATTCTAACCAATTTCTCTCTCTAGTCAGGTGACAGCAATTGGGCGAGTACTGCAGAGAAAACCCAATTCCTGTTAACTTCTTCTTTTGTCTTCTATTTTTATTTTTATTTTATTTATCTCATGGCTACGATCCGGACCACCGGACAGGGATCCGGACCGTCCGTGGTCTGGGGTCCGGGTTCGGATCTCGGTCCAGATGTGTGGGCCCCAGCCCAACGGGCAAAAAAAATTTAAGTGGTCCAAGGCGTTCGTTCACGCCCTAGGTCGCCCCCAAAAAATGGTGCCTGATTTTTTACCGCCCTCACCAACGATCCGGAAGGCCCAGAAAGTCTATGAGGGGGTCTGCTAACTTTGGTTTTGTTTCCCACCTGCGGCGCAAGGGTGCGGTGGTCACCGATGCGCCAAAAAAAAAAAAAAGCCGCTGTTATGGGTGAGAACACTGGCATGCGTGAGAGAGAGAGAGAGAGAGAGAGAGAGAGAGAGAGAGAGAGAGAGAGAGAGCAAACAAATAATTCCTTATAATTTACTGGAAAACCCCTGCGGGTTATCCAAGAGGCCCCTGCAGATAATTAGCAAGGGCCTTCTCACCATGAACTAAGTACTGCTCATAGCCATGTGAGGGTCATGGCACGCCAAGTATATATGCTGTGGATTCACGTTAAGGTCCGTGTTTCAGCAGTTATGGGACCACTGAGCACGCGAGTTTCTGGGCAGTAGCAGGCCAACTCACCACGTGCTTTTCAGGGCTTCCCTCCACTATTCACCAAATGTGCAAAACCAGAATGAATCTTCTGCTAGAACATGGAACCATACGCCGCCATATGTTTTGTCTTTTGTGCAAGTAGTGACGAGTGGAGCAAGGCCTTCAGGGCCACTGATCGTAGGAAAAGAAAACAAGAAAAAGAGAGGAATGAATCTTCAGCTAGAACATGGAACCATACGCCGTCGCCATATGTTTTGTCTTTTCTGCAAGTAGTGACGAGTGGAGCCAGGCCCTTCGGGCCACTGCTGGTAGGAAAAGAAAACAAAAAAAAGAGAGGAATGAATCTTCTGCTAGAACATGGAATCAAACGCCGCCATATGTTTTGTCTTTTGTGCAAGGCCCTTAGGGCCACTGCTCGTAGGAAAAGAAAACAAAAAAAAAAGAAAGGAATGAATCTTCTGCTAGAACATGGAACCATACACCGCCGTATGTTTTGTCTTTTGTGCA